GAGGCACTTAGTCCTCACATCGAAACAAAAGCAGCAGCAATGGAAAAAGGCGATCCTAGCAGGGCTTCAGCTCCACTCCATAGGCAGAACTCAACTGGGGTCTGAGCCTTGGTCCTCTAACTTCGTCTTCAGCTCAGAAGCACTATAGTTCTGAAAAATGGGGAAATAGCAAGCTGAGTACAACCATCGTACTCAGCAAGCCACACCAATGATGCAGACGTGCAAAAGGAGACAAAGGGAGGTTTGCGGTTGTTTGCATAAAGGCGGTTGTAAATCATTTTATTGAGCAAAATAGTAAAATAGTTGATTAATTAAGGTAATATTAAATCTCCACTGATCAATGCTACACCACATTGAACAGGCCCAACCAAACCACCTGAACTACACCGGTTCATTAACCAATTATTAAGGATGGGACTAATCACGGTGAATTTGGTCAATCGCCCAAAACCGCGGGCACGGCTATTCGAATAGTTTTACTCTGGCCAGAGGTGCACAACTGTACACACAAGACACAATCCATCGGCATGTCACCGCGTCATCATGTGCCCATGATGAGCATGTCACCATATCGAGTGATTGTGATAAGACCCTTCGCATAACTCTCCCCTAACCATCCACACCACGCTAAAGTTTCACCCCCACCCCCTACCCCGGAGGTGGGCAGTCCCCTCGTGCGCCGTGGTGAATTCAGCAGCTGGACAAACGAACACCCGGCCGACCCAACTCCATTACGCCCAGCCTCGCCACCGGTGCCTAGGAAATTGTCGAGCTATAATATAGATCAAGTAGTTACTCATTCCAGCTTGTGGTAAGCACAGTAAGTCTTCCAGGGTTTCTTGTGAACCGGTCCTTAATTGCCATGGGTGCAACTAGCAAAACCATGCACCCACAGCCCACCATTTGGTCGCATTTTAGTTGGATAATTACGACCAATGAAACATGTTCGGATGTCTCGAGCACGCAACTCGTCAAGGTACTATAGGTCTAATAATGTAATTATCCCATTATGTGAGCTAGTGGTAATTAAGCATGGCTAAGCATATATGATTTTAGCTAGATCAACATAAGTATCACGAGCTAGATAATTTATCACCTAAGGTTGACAAAGGACGGGTAACAAGTAAACATGGCAAAAGCGAGCAAATAGGTTATACCTGATCCCATGTAATTAGCAAAACATGCATATTTATTTGCAAACAGTAAAATATTTATAAATTAGGCTCAATATGCTTAAGGGGAATGTGTGACATTCCTTGCTTCTTCACTTGGATCTTCTGAACTCTTTCCCTCGCGACCGCGAACTTCCGGAACGACGGAGTCTACACGCTGGCACGCAAAATGAGGAAAAACTCTAATAAAAACCAAGTAAATAGTACATAAAAAGTAAACAAACATGTAGAGCTCAATTTTAGATGAATTTTACAAGTTGAATGGACCAATATGGAGTTCGTATGAATTAGATATGAATTTTAGAAGTTTTGAGCCATTTAAATCAATTTCTAGAATTAAATACGATTTATTGCACAATTATTAATTAATTTCTCATAAGAAAAGGGCTGTCGCTGACATCATTAAGGGGAGAGGCGCGCCAACAGGCGGGCCCCGCATGTCAGTGGCATAAGGGGAGGCACACGGTGGACTCGGTTCACCGCGGCGGGGGCGGCACCGTGGACCTGGACCATAGGACCGACGGCCTAGATTGGCCTGAAGCCGATCCAACGGGCACGGGCGGCGCGACAGGACACGGGCACGGCACAAAGCCGGCCCGGCCGAGCCACGGCGCGTGGCGGCGCGGCAACCAACGGCGATGGCCGGCGACGCAAGTAGCGGCGGTGCATGGCACGGGAGGTGGGCAACGAAGGGGGAAGGAGGAAAAAGAGAGGGGGAGTGCTCACCGAGCGCCATGGCGGCAAGGGGGCAACGGGCAGCGGTGAGGCCTTCTCAGGAAGATGACGCGGCGGCGCCTCAGCGATGACCAACGAAGGCGGTGGAGCGGCTGAGGTTCAGAGAGGGGCGGCGGAGCCGATAGGGTGGTGGCGCGTCGCGACGAAGGCCCGCGGAAGTAGCGGGAATTGGCGGCTAGTGACAGGGAAATGGCGGTGAGGGCTCGGGTGCACGCTAGAAGTGGTATTTTGGTGGAGTTCCGGCGGCGATGAACGGAGGCCGGGGTGTGGTGGGGCGCTGCGAACGCTGTGGAGGCAGTAGCGTGGCCGAGCGAGGCGATGCTCGCCGGCGGGGAGCGGCTGGAGGCAGTAGAAACAGTGATGGCTTAGCCTCGCGGTGGGAGCGGCGTTTCGGTGGCTTTTGGGGAAAATGGAGCGGTGGACGGGGTGGAGTTCGGCACGGCGATGGCGGTGGCGGCCTAGAGCAGAGGTGGCTAGGGCAACGGTGGTGAGTGGCTGGAGCTCGCCGGAAAGAGGCGGAAGTTGGTTGCGCGGTGGGAGCGATGTTTCGGTGGTGGTGGGGAAAAACGGAGCGGTGGCCGGGCTTGATCTCGCAGCGGCGAAGCCGGCAGTGGAGGACCCAGGATTTGAACCCAGGGTAGGCCTAGCCAAAGAAAATCCAAATACAATACAATATGATTCGATATAAAATATGGTAAACGATACGTATATAACTCTAAATGGTTCGATACAATTAGAAAATAACAAATAAGTTTAACTTTTAGGATAAAAGCTTGTAAGTCTAACTATTTTTTTTATCAAATGAGGCAAATGAATCGGACGGATTAAATGCTGACATATAAAGAAGCAACTCCATACTAACTTCATCAAACCGATTCTCAAGCTCTTGACGAATTCTATCGATGACACCAATGTACACTTCTCTCCTATAGTGGTCATCAATTGTTTGTTCCAGGTAAAAACGGTGGGATCTTCCATGAGGCATATATTTAGCATCCATTGCGGGAATATCAATGGAATATTTGATGCAAAATGATGTAACCTTTCCTAAGAAACCTTCCCAACCATGCAAAAATGTCATATGAAGGGGGTAGTATGCTAGTAGTGGTCTACTACTACTAGAACTCTAGATTCTAGAAGGGGGAGAGGGACTGAGGGACTGAGGAAGTGAGGAATTGCTCACTGGAGAGGCGGACTGGTGGAGAGCCGAAGAAGGAGTGGCCGGTAGAGCACTAGCGCTGGGCTCTTGGGCGGCTGCCGGCTGGGCGCGTGCTGCCACCGACGCACGTCGGGCAGGACCGCGGGAGCCAGGAGGCCGCCGGCTGGTCGCGCCGACGCGGGACAGAGAGAGTGTGGCCAGGCGGGGCGCGCCGGCGAGGGGCGGAGAGGGCGCGGCCGCACGGGCTCCGACGCGGCACGAAAAGGCAGTAGGAGGAGCGGCGCTGTGAGTCGCGGCCTCGCGGGAGCGCCGGCCACCGGATTCACGGGCTCGCGGGAGCGCCGTGGCCTGTCGGGAGTGGGAGGCCAGGAGAGTAAGTGGAGAGGGGAGATAAGAGAGTTAGAGTTTTCTTTTGTTGGGCCAGGCTTTCTTATGGGCCAAGAAAAATAAATACCTGTTCTTATCTGGGCCAAATTATAGGGTAGTCCTGGGCCTACCTAGACTACTCTTTGGTCCCGCCACTGGAAGCCGGTGGTGGCGGTGGCGTAGCACGGCAACGACAGGAGCCGCGGTGGCTCGTGGTTGGAGGACGCCGGTGGGCGGCGGAGCTCAGGCCGGCGTGGGAAGAACGGGAGAGCGTGGGGAACGGCGAGGAGGGGAAACAAGAGAGGATGGCCGGGATGCGTTTTATAGCGCTCGGCGGCCGGGATTGTGGCCGAGAGAGGCGGATTCGGGGTGGCAACCGGTAGGAGGTGGGGCGCCGACGTGGAGGAAATGGCGGCCGGATTTCGCGGGAAGGGGTGGGGGAAGTGGGCGCAAGGTGGAGGAGGACCACGTGCGCGCGGTTAGATGCGGGCGGGGAGCGGGATGATGCTTGGAATTTCGGTGATGTGGGCGGCCATGGCGACTGAAGCTGGGCGACTGGAGGAAGGAGGAGGAGTTGACAGGTGGAGTCGCTGAGCCCTCCTGTTGGCGAGGGAGGGACAAAGGAGGTCGGGAGAGAGGCCAAATAGACTTTAGGGGAGGGGGGAGAGGGCCGAGCGGTGAGCTGGGCCGGGAAAGGAGGGGAGGGAGGGGGAGGCTGGCATGAGAGGGGGAGGGGGAGGGTCGAAAGGAGGCTCAAAGGAAGGAGGAGATCTTAAATTGGTTTTTCAATTAATTTAATTGATTAAATGAACTTTGTGATGTTAAAATTAGATGTTGAGCTCCAAAAATTCACAGAAAAATCAAGAGAGTATATTAGGGCATAGAGAATATTATAAAATATTTCTGGCCAATGATTTTTAAAGGAAACTTTTAATTTCCTCAATAATTCACTTGATTAAATTGCTTTAACTTTTATTTAATTTGTAGAAAATGATTTATTAATTGATTTTTAATCCCGAACGAAAATCGGAGCGTTACATTAGCCACCGCCGCTGCCACCACGGGCGCTGCCGCGGCTGTCTCAGGCCACATCCGTAGCTGTCTCAGCCGCCGCCGCTGTCACCCATCACCAGCCGCGTGGTCGGCCACCATTGTCTCCGCGACGGCGGCAGGGTGCAGGGAGTTAGGAGGTGCAATGGAGGTGGAGGAGGCAGAAAGCCATGGATGAACGGTGCGGCGAGCTGGTGACCCTAACGTGGAGAGCGGCGCAAGTGGCAGCACTGATGATGTAAGAGCATTTCGAAGAAAGGGCTAAACAGGTTCCTAAAAATTAATTTTTGGGATTTTGGTTAAAACTAGGTCTGTTAATCACGGTTCTAAATTTTATCCCCTCCTATAAAATCGATACCAATCTCATCAGAATTTGGGAAATTTGGGAAGCAGAACGCCGTCCTAATCGCAGGAATCACGCCAATTGTTTTACTGTCGGCGCCAAAAGTTTTTTTTCCGTCCGCTTCCTTTTCCTCGTCGCGCCGTTTTTTTTCGAGAAATTTTTTTTCCGCCCGCTTCCTTTCCCTTCTCGCGCCTTTCTCCTCTCGCCGTTTTCTTTTTCGCGAGAAACAACAGCGCCCACGCCGCCACGCCGCCAGGCTAGGGTTTTGGGGCTCCTAGCGCCAGCTCTGTCCCGAGCGCCCGTCCGTCCAGGGCTCTGCCGGCCGTCCGTCCAGGGCTCCGCCGGCCGCCTATCCGGGGGACCGCCGGCCTGCCAGCCGTCCGTCCAGGGGCAGCGCCGCCGGCCGCCCGTCCAGGGCACCACCACCTCGCCATCGACCGTCCATCCAGGTCACCCCGACGACGACGTGTGCTGCTACTGCTGATTCACTTTGAGGTATTTTCAGAGAAACTCATTTCTACCTGTGCTCGTATGGTTTATACGCACTGTACAAGTGCTTGTGCCTGTCACCAATCGTTGCTGCTCGCTGCCGTTGCCTGGTTGCTTATGCCGCCGGCGCTGACAGAGGAACAGCTCTGCGTGCGTCTGCAGCACTGTGTCCTTCGCAAGGTTGTCTGGATCGGGATATTAGGTAGTAATGTTTTGCTCCAAGTATTATCGTATCGTAATATTGGAATACTATGAGATTTTCTTTTTTTAAGTTTAATTAATATTCATATTAATTACATATATATTATGCAAATATAGACATTTATCATGAGAAACCACGTTGGTTTTGATATATTTAACTGATTTCTATATATACTTGAGCATATTCATTTACATTATTTCCAAACCATCTTATTTTAAATAATATTTTGTAGTAACGTAGGGATCGTAGAATCGGGATACCACTTAAGATTTCGTAGGATCGTGTAGTAATGAATAGTAGGATCGAGATACTATGAAAATTAGGATACTAGGTGGGATCGGTATCGTTTCGGCTTGGTAGGATCGTAGTATCATAAGATACTAGAATACGAATCAGGATACTGACAACCGGACTTCGTTCGATATCATATCGCTGCGCCTTATATAGCCTCACGAATTCGGACGTCAAAGGGTTTTTAAGTTGTATTTGGACGTCAAATATTAAAACACGTTTCTTATTGTATAAGGACGTCATTTTGAGAAAATGAAGGAAGCATATACTTTACACACTGTAATTATATACATACCACGTTTTGATATTGTATTTTTAGGTTAAATGAAATGAAGAACATTTAATCAATGTTAGCTAATTTGTGTTCAATGAAATTTTCTACGTAAATTATGTTTGTTTTCGTGGCTGCGCACGCCGCGCTCTCCCTTCTAGTAAAAATAAGATTATATCATATTGGATATAATGTGCTCACATTGTGGAAAACTTAATACTAATATTTGAGTTTGTTTATATTATTGCTGTGACATATAATTTGGGAAACACACATTACAGGTGCACGATAGCTGGTGGAAGGGAAAGGCCAAAAGGGAGAAGAAAACGAGAAAATAAAAGTTTCAGGCGCCGCTTCAAAATCCCGCCTCAAACGGTCAAAAGCCCCTGATCCCCCTTTCCCCTACCGGGCCTCTCCGCTGCCGCCTCATCCTCCACCCCCCTCACTTTCCTGTCGCGATGCCACGGCGGCGGCGGCGGCGGCGTGCGGCACCCGGCGGCCAAGTTCCCCCAGAGCTACGCCTGGCTTATGGCGCCCGCGCGCTCACGCTCGGCCGCGCGGTTTTCTCCCTCCTGCCCTCGCCTCGACATTGTGAGTCCCCCTGTCCTGCGTGCCGGGGAAGAGTGGCCTCGGGGTGCCTCGCGTGCCGCCGCTGGGAGCACCTCCTCCGTGACGGGGACCCCGTCGCTTATCGCCGCCTCATCACACGAGCCGTCTGCGCCATTGCGGCCGACGATCTGTCCGCGCCCCCGCCGCCCCGGTACACTCCGGGCAACTCCGGGCATTCGCAGGCCAGGGTTTGTCCTGCTGCTCTCCTACTCTCGATCTTGCCTTACTTATGTGCTGCTTAGGGTGTGTACATTTCTCGTCTTCTATTGGTTATCTGAGGCTGCCCTTTTTTTTTGCCTGCATGGTGTTTGACTCACAGCTCGTTCGGGAGATGATGAAGTCGATCGTTGCGGATCAGTCTCATGGAACCAAGAACGTCCTCTGCAATGGTTTGCACGAGGTAAAGTTAAAAAGTGTATACCATGAGTTGACACTTCTTATTGCATCCATTATCCGTCATTCTACCTGTGGTGGTGGCCCTTTTCATACAAAATGGGTTACTGGGATTCCCGCAGACTGAGATCCCGTTGAAGTGCTGCCATGCCAGTATACATGGTATGGTTGTTACTAGTGAAAGAATAATTTTCAGTTAAAACACTGTAAAATTATCCTAACTTAATTTGTTGGATATCCTTGTCTCCTTGGTGTTGGTGGTGTGAGGCATCTCTACGAGCATGTTCAATCTTGTTGGTCAAAAGGGGTCATTTCTGGCAATGAGTGAAAAATGATGAGATAATAAACAAAGTTCACACTTAAACTACCAATTTTATTACCTGAACCAGCCATTTATAGAATCAGATCATTAGATGTGGTAGTTAGTAACTAGCCAGTAAGCATTGAAATAAACCAATTATTCCATTGAAATACTGATAAACTACCATTTATTTGGCTCAACGACAACTATTTGGAAAAATAGGATGTTTGGATTCTGTTGGGGCTATTAACAATGTCGTTTAAGATGTGCTAAAGTTAGCTAATATTGAATAAAGGTAAGGACGTAGGGTTTTGTGAATACTTGGTCTTCGGTGCCAATGACATTGGCGCCTATCCCCCTTCACATAAGTGGCTTAGCTTCCACGGGGAGGCTAGGGGTACGGTGCCAATGTCATTGGCGCCCTCATGTTGGACCATAACACCAATGACGTTAGCCCCACAAGAAAGGTCCATTCCCGGAATAAATTTTTCTGGGGTCTATTTGTAAAGTAAGTTTTCAAAAAGGACCAAAAAGTGAATTACAGGCTTATAATCGTTGATAACCACTCATCATATAGCTCTGAACAATATTAGGTTAGCCATACGGACTTATGTAAACTTGTACAAACTGGCCTTGGATGTGTCAAGGAAGCTGTGATGCAATTATATCTCTTTAGTTTGCTTCTTCGCACATACTATTGATTTTACTACTTCGAATCATTACGACCTGATAACTTCTTATATGATTGGTCGAGTGACATGTTGGCTACTTTGATATACACAGATATTATTTTATACTTCCCATTAATAATATTAGGTTGTTATTGTTATTAGGGTGGCCAGTCTATATGTATCAGTGATCTTGTTTCTTCTTCATCTTGGAGTATTCTTTTGCACAGAGTAAGTTTAACAAAAATCCTTTTCTCTGATGATTATGGCTTGCAATCTTTTTTTATTTGATAAGATACTTGTTTGTGTTTCAGATCGGGGATCTTCTCATGTGCTATTTGCTGAGGTGCACATCAATCTTTCTGCCTGTTAAAAAGAATGATTATTTTCAGGTCTCTGGTGTTCCACTCAATGTGGTTCTGCGAAATCCTATATTTGCAAGTACTGTTGCGAGAAAACATCAACCCCAAACTACAAAAGCAAAATGTCATACAGTAAGCATTTATTTCCAGATTTTATAGTTTTTCGACTATTGAGTACAAGTCTTTGTCCAGTGAACCCCGTACAAATATTTGATTCCCAACTTAATGCTCTGAAGACACAAGTCAACAATTTATCTCAGTATGACTAGGTCTACCATTTAAACAAGTCTCAACATTCATAAATTTATTTTTTCATGTATAACTATAGGTGAAAATAGTTCTCAAATACAGAAGGAAATGTTTACCTCATCCAATAATGTGATATCCTGCGATGTTTTATGATATTCTTGAGTAAGCATATTTTTCTAAAGAACAATAGTTTTGTTGTGTGTGAAAACAATAACAATAACAATAACAATAAGTTATACATAAAAGCCTTTCAGAGGTGGGGAAAGGTGTCTTCTTTGGTAGAAAAAACAAAACTATCTTGATTAGCCTGATTAGTTATATGTGATTTTGGAATAAAAGCTAGACGGAGAACAGTGTCTGGGATTGCAGCGGAAACATGACTTATCTGACTTCGTGTTGATTTCATTACTTCATAAATGTTGAGTTCCAACAAGGCCACAACTTTTCTGCAAGATTTTTAATTAAATAGGCAAAACACAGCAGAATTACGATGAAATGAGTATATCGCAATTTCTGGTTTTCATGAAGTTCCAGGAATACAAAACTAGTCCAAAGAATTGGCACATAAATTTAAATTTCCCGGTAATACCAAATATCCACATGGAGACATTTTTGTTTATAAAGTATTTTTATACTTTTGTCAATTTTGTCAGAGAAATCTTCAAATTGCATCGTCTCCATAACTCGTGCTATAAGAAACTAGACTGTTACATATTAAATTGAAAAGCTGATGTGCACGAGGGTGTCCCGATCTTTCGATGAGAGGATAAGTCGATTGGATTGAGTGACGTTGGCGATCTGACTACAACTATCCAGGGATGTTGCTCCTTAGCAATCGTTACACCAACTCCAAAGGCAGTCGTGAATTGCATAGTCAGCCTAACCACAAGGGTATTTGTTCCTGCAAGCACTCGAGAACTAGCAAGAACAAGATGAACAAGCAACTCAATTTGCGAACTAAAGATGTAGGATTGAATCAACAGAAGTATCATAGGTGGGGTTCCGTACCGAGCAAACCGGCGATCTAACCGATCATGGGATTACACGGTTCGCTACTTTGATCTAAACAAAACCCAAATTGATCTATGGGGTCGTCCTCTAACCCTAAGACCTGCCCCTAACGGACTCAACTTGATACACAACCCATTGGGCCCAAATAAGTTGACGCAACACCGTTGGCAGAAAAAGGTCTAGTAAAACGGCGATTGCAGCCTCTCCAGAACAGATTTGACATGAGGCCGGATCCATTTGAAATAGACTTGATAAGTTTTCGATGAAGTACTTGCACGCCAAATCGGAGTTCGTATGAAGTCGTGGCGATCGTCAGAAGTTGGTGCTGTCCTGCAGTCCGAATCCAGCCTGCGCGAATCCTCTCCCCTCTGGATCCTCTCCATTGTTCCTGAGTAAAACAAGAGTGCACGTGTCTCTGGGGTATAAAGATGATGAACATGGACTCAAGAATGAACTCACCTGATAGTTGACTTGACGTGCACGAGCACGGGTAATAGGACTATGAAGTTGGACTTGTGGAGATGTGGATGTACCGAGGGTGTTGATGTCCTCATCAAAAACAAAGTGACTTTATCTGCTTGATCTGGTTGCCTTCACTTCAGAATGAGGAAAGTCAAACCAGGCAGTTTTTGTGAAACTGACGAACAAAGTGATGTCAGAAGGATTATATTACATTAGCTGACCGACTTGATTGACCCACATAATTGTTCCTAGAATGGGTGCCTCAGCAATCCCCTGCCTCAATTTTCAAATTCTCTCTTTCCACGTGCCCATATTCCTTTAAATGTAACTGTGTCCCCTTAACTACTAGCAGCTGGAACCTACTCTCATAAGACCATCAGTGTTATGTAACCACAATGCATGTCTTTCATTGCTATATCAGAAGCAAGTGCTAGGTAGTGAACATCCCAACACATGTATTGGTTCTTTTCTTTCTTTGTTTTTTGTACAACAATTGAATAAAGTAAGTTCCTAATTTTTTATATTAATCCTTTTGCTATTTCTCTCCACAATATGAGAAAAGATATGCCAAAGTAATAAAATATTAATATGTAACAAACTGCTGGTTCAAACCTATGAACGGTGGTGAACTGTGATTTGATAACCTGACTGTTTTAACTTTTGAGTACTGGAGATATTTTTTATAGATTTTGCAAGCTTCATTAATTTTGGCTGTTGATTTGTATCTGATTCTAGTCCTATAAAATGTCATCAGTTATATTATTTGATGAGCCACATGATAATTATATTCTTTAATAATACAAGCACATGTAGAGTGTTCAGATGAATTACTCCATCACAATATATAGCTACTTCTAGTGCTCAAATCTTGTCGTCGCAACCAATTACAACCTCCTCATTCAATTTCTCCACCTACCTTCTCCATCTCAACCAATCACAACAATCTCGTGTTTCACCTGTCTTCTTAATCTCAGTGAATTTTTTTTCTAGAAGTGCTTATATTTTGGGAACGGAGGGAGTATTAAATAAGCTGACAAGTCACTACATGTCTTTGTGTCATCAGTGCTACCTGTGGAAAAGTGCAAACATGGCGGAAAACTTATCTATTTGTCATGACAGTTCAAATTCTGGAGTTAATTCTTCGTTTAGCAGCACTTGCAAAATTGTTACTCAACAAAGCTGTGAAACATGTGGTTCCATAAGAAGAGCAGAATCCAAAGATCCAAGTGAAGGATGTAATTGTCCAAAATTTCCTTCTGATGGTAGATCAGGAGAGTGTTGCAACTGCTATACCCACAACACCAGGAAAAGAAAAAGGTTATACAGTTGGCAGCGCCGCAGCAAAAAGAAACAGGTCTGTTCTGTGGATGAGTCTTCAGCAGAATGGAGTAAATTAAATGGCAGTAATTTCAATATGTCTAATGGTCCATCGGAGAACCTGGCTGGAAAAATGAATGATCAAGCACAATCTGTCGAGCTCACAGTAGATAATACTTCTTTGGCAAGGAGCAATGATGACAGTTCTTCAGAAATCAAAGTAATTAATGCTACTATCTTGTCATCAGAAAAATCACCTTGTTCAGTGTTCGACATAAGGGGTTCCCAGGGTTTATCTTGTCATTACAGCCTGTCAGAAGTCCAGTACCAATCTACATGTCCCCAAGTTGGGCCCTCCAGTTACTTACATCTGAATGTCAGCTTCCCAGCCTTCTATTCTTTTTTTTACCTCTTGCTTTTAAGCTTGCATTTCATTCATAATGGACAAATATCCATTTATTTAATATTTTTGTACTTCTGTAGTTAGTTTATTTTTTTATCAATTTAATTTCTTTGAGAACACAATTCCGTTTAGTTATTTTGAGAAAACATCTTTTACCGTTTAGAAAAACTGTTATTTACTGAAAATGTGCCAGAATCAATAGTTTGGATGTATAAATAGTCAATGTATGGGTTGGTGTACATATATTTTTTAAAATATACTCCAACAGTAGTCCTGTAAACCATACAACTGGAAATGTCATATTCTGTCTTGAGGATACCATTTTAGGACTCTAATCAAGTCAACGTCTTGAACAATATGCTTGCATTACTTGTTCCTTGATGAACTTACTGTAATAAAGCCATGCTGATGTTCTCTAGTAATTATAGTTTCTTTGGTTTGTATTGTTTTTAGAAAAAAAATTCCTTGGCATTGATCTGATGCACTATTCTCTTTTAGGATACTGTTGTTTATTGGGTATGAACTTAAAACTGGACCCTTTGCTGGCCCTGGCATGTGGGTAGAAATTTTCACTCCTTTAGTGTATATCCACAAATCATTCATTCACTTTTTCTTGCACATATAATGTTTCTCATAATATGTTTTTCAATCTATTCTTCCTCCAGAGTATTCTTGAAATTCAAAAGCACATTTCTGTTGAATATTTTACTGCACACTATCATGGAACTTTTTAAATGTTCTAGTCGTTTCATCTTTATATTTTTTCTTGCAGAGTTGTTCCATCTGCTTCAATTGTATAATATCAAATGCATCCAAACATTTATCATTAGATTCCTTGATATCAAGAAATGGTATTTTCTATAACAGAAGGACAACCTATAGTGTCTTCCATTGCAAACGTATCCTTTTGCTGCTTCATGTACCCTCAAAATCTGTAACAAGATTTGCGAATGCAAAGAAGTGTTACTTGTCATAATGATGGGGAAAAATTGAGTGAAACCTGTGCATGAGTGCTTATTTTGTCTTTCCTGTTGGGGCCTAAGGTGAATAGGTGATGAGGTGTTTGGAGTTCTGGAGGAAACCAGAAGCAGTTTGTCTAGGAAAGGGAGGATTGTACGATGAGGTGATGAGGTGTATGGAGTTCTGGAGGAAACCAGAAACAGTTTTTGTCTAGGAAAGGGAGGAAACCAGAAACAGTTTTTGTCTAGGAAAGGGAGGAAACCAAATCTATAATGTTTTCTTGCTTGTTTCTGTTACACTAGCTAATGCGCTTTTTAATAGGGATTTAAATAGTACTAGATCTCCTACATTGCAATTCGAATATGGAATCTTCTGTTGTGTTACTCAGTAGCTTGTTGCTAGATGTAGATTGCAATACTGATTTCCTGTAATTTTGGTAGCAAAGGACACATTTGGCCATCATCTTTAGATAATTTTGTAGTCCCATTCAATTAGCTTTAATTAATGCAAAGAGTTCTTTTCTTTTCTTTAACATTCCGTGTCATTGTACTGTTCTAAAATTTTACTATTTTTATGTAGGCTAGGACATTTGATTTTATTACAAGTAGTTCTATCAATTCAGTTTTTGAACAAAGTTCAATGGGAAAAAAAATAGAGGATTATGCAATTGGTCCATTACCACTGTTGGATTAACATCTCCTATGTATGGAGCGATCTTTACATGGCATGTTATAGTCACATATCAGATCCCATGATGTGTTGAAATCTAGCATTGCCTATGATTACAGTATGTTGTCTGAGTGTTCCTTAATCCTTACTGCTGTTAGACATATTAAGCAAAAGGAAAAGGCCAGATGCTCTATCTCTTGTAAAGCACATATTTGGAATCAATAGTTGCTGTGCAAGCTTATTGAAATACAACTGCCACGAATCTACAATCAGAAAGTCTAATTGCTTGTGAGTCATTAGATATGGTTCTTCAGCGTTTCATATCATTAGTTACTCTTGCTGTTGGATGACACACTTCTCACTAATATTTACGATTCTGTCCACATATTGTAACTGCAATGCACACATCAATGTGCTGTAGCAACACATAAGGTGTTGTTTAATACTAATGATATATTACAGTCGATTTCCTAGCATTAGGGATGCCGTATTTGGAAGATAATTCATCAACCCTGTGCAGCTCTGTGCCAAAACAATGTACTTTTGAGTATTGATCCAAATTGTTTTTTAAGAAAAAAGTATTGAATCATTTTTTTTTGTAAAGAGCTCACTGATTCAAATTTATGAAGGAGAAATTATGTTGCTTGTCCTTCAATTTTTTACTTGGTTTAATTTTTCCTCTCCCAAATGCAAAACCGGACAAAACCAACCCTCAACCCTCAAAATCTGGCAAAATTAATGCCTCTGCCCTATCTAATACTTCCTCCATGTCAAAATGTAAGCATTTTTGAGGTTGGCACGAGTATTAAGAAAGAGGTGAGAATGATTGGAGGAAGTGTGATTGGTTGAGAAGAGAAAGTAGATGAAAGAGAATGATTGTGATTGGTTGAGAGGAGAATGGTAGGTGGAGAAATAACTTTATTTTGGGACAAGATACTGTGCTAAAAATAACTACATTTTGGGATGGAGGTAGTCGTGGTTTTGACTTACATATGGAGGACCCACTTTTCATTGAGGATTTGATGGTTCACCATTCTTCTGTCCAGTGTTTGCCATATGGGCCCAATGTTAATTCTCTATCCCTCCGTAGCATGTGTGCCCACCACCTATATGTTGGTAAAAACTGTTGAAAGGGAGCAGAGGGATGAGTTTTAGCTGGGTTTGGTTATGCACTTATGCATCTTTTTTGTACGGCTGGTTCGTGGTTTTGGGGGTCCTTTTGGTCCCTTCTGTGTAATTTCCTTTTCTTCTTAATGAAATGAAGTGCAGTCCTGTGTTTTCGAGAAAGAGGGACAAATCAAACTGAGAAGAATTGAGGGATGGTAAACAGTTTATTTTTTGTGAAAATAATTCCAACCTGACTTTACTACCATTATTACCATTAGTTAGGGTGGTGCGTCAGTACACAATTTTTTTTTGGCATATTTTGGTCAATTTCTAGACTGTCCTAATTAATCGTTTCTAGGCAAGTGAATGCAAATGCTTCTATGCATGTCTTGAAATCATGTGGTCTTTGCTTAGGAATTAGCTTCCATGTTTTTCACACTCGTGCAGGATCATAGGCTTGTCTTTATATTATTCTTTTCGAGTTACACCCTGCAAATGTGAAGTTTTGACATTTTTACTATTTACGGCTTTCACTACCAGGTGCTGTTGGCTGCCCAAATCAATTAAAAATCTCATAAGGAATTCTAAACGTTGCCAATATAAGAAATTATTTCTGAAGCATTGTTCTGTCAAGTGTAAGGTATGTTTGAGATAGTTCGACCTCATTTACTGAGTAATATCATAAAGATAATCCAATGTATCAGCTCATGAGTCATGACTATTCTGGGTCATGTCCTTTTGGTAAATTATCCTACTGATCTTTGCAACAAGTTGTTAATGTTAAACTTCAGTGCTTATCTGTTGCTTCCCACATTATACATTTTGTCAAGTATAGCAAGCCACATTTTTTGTGGCAATCTAACTGATTATCACACCTTTTGTCAAGGACATTTTATTCAACCATATAAAATGCCTCATTTCGTTCAATTGTATTTAAATGCCTCAACCCTCCACAAGCAAGTGGAATGATAGTACGTTGTCTATTTATAATCTATCCTATGCCACTGAGTTTATCCCAGTTGAACAATTTATCATTGACATTGTCTCTTTCTATAATATACCAGCGACTTTATCAATTGTTCTACAATACGCCATTGGGTTGGGCCTTTCCTTCAAAAATACTCAAAATACCATTAGAGACGTAAAAAGGTTAACAATTAATTTATCTCACTAGAAATTTTTTAAAAAATGATTTTTTTATGTGGCCTCCTTACATAATATAGACGTTTTCGTATAAGTTTCAAGCATTTTGCATTTCTACTTTTTGTAAGATATTACCTCCGTCCCATAAAAATTGAAATTCTAGTTCTAAGGCTTAGTCCCACAAAAAATGTATTTCTAATCTCATGGGACCCAACAAGTAATTTAAGAATGCTAATTATGTGGGTTAATTGTCTCAAAATTCCTTTTAATCAATTTTATATATGGAATGTATGCATGTATGGGGTTCATTAAATAAGGTTATTGTGGTCATTTGTCTATCCTCCTAATATGTCCTAAATTAGCTAGAATTTCAATTTTTATGGGACAGAGGTAGTATAATTTATCTGTTATGCTGTATAAAATATTTTTTGTTGTTTCTTTTAATGTAAATCATCTTTCATGTGCTACATAAGATATTTTCGTGCTATTATCTTTTGTGTAAGCAAATTCTCTCCTATACCACATAAAAATATTTTTTTACAAAATAAAAATACCAAAAAAATCTTGAAACTTATAACAAACTTCTTTGTAATGTAAGGAGGCCACATAAAAAAAATCATTTTTTTTAAACTTCTAATGAGATGAATCAAGTGTTAACCTTTTATTTTTCTAAGGGTATTTTTGAAAAAAAGGCTTAGCCCAATGGTGTATTGTAGAATAATTGATAAAATCACTGGTATATTATGGAAAGAGACAATGTTAGTGGCAAATCGTTGAACTGGAACAAACTCAGTGGCATAGAGTAGATTCTCTATTGAAATAATTTCTAGATGTTTCATACGTTGCGCTAATTCAAATTCAATAGACCTAGCAAGGATAAACAAATCATGTAGCTAATCTGTGATTAATATTGTAAGTCCATTAAATTTATAGAAAAATGCACCATTTGCGACATCAAATTGGTTTCATGAAATCCACCATGAAATATGTCTTGATAGTAGTGCATTCATTTATTATTGTAGATGTTGGTGAGTTTTTCTATAGACTTGGTCAGAGTTGAAGAAAAAAGTGACTTAGGAACAGAGGTAGTATAGAAATTCGTTAATGGACCTTAAGTAAAGGAAGGATTTATTGCTAAATATTAATTATTTTGTAACTATCTGATATTAAAATCATTAAAAAGATAACTTTTGTTCCATGATAGGCTCAACTAAATAGCCATTTTGTATTTACAAATATAACTATACTCAAATTTCAACAAACAAAAAACAAATTGCTGCTTCTGAGATTTTTAAACGCTTCATGCTATAAATTTTTTTAATCAACCCTGCATCTAAATGGTTTGAACTAGTCATACTTTGTTCGTGTTTGTTTTAAAGTCATACTTTGTTATTATTCTTCATGCTGCAAAAATGCAGTGGAGTTATCAATTTATCTGTTAATTTTGCTACTTACAAAAAACATGCCAAGCCACCATGCAATATGTAATGCGAGCAAGAATTTTTTATACTAGATATATTCTAGTCTATTGACTAAAATGTTGATCAGACATGCCAAATAAAATTTGAACCTGTATAGCTTGCTGCCTGGAGTACTTATATTGGTTGCAATATTATCTGACATGAGTTTTTATGGACAGCCTGTCAAAATAGCAAAAATGTTGTATATAATGTTATAAGAGAAGAATGACATCACTTATTTTTGCTGTAAAACAGGTGGCACCTGATGTGACCAAGAATGATGGCAAGGCACATTATCCACCTGGAGGAAAAGCAGCATATTATGATCGATCATTTTCTCGATTGGAAGCGTATAGCACCCATCAACAAGTAGCTTCTTTTGTTTGGGCAGTGCTGAAACGAATAGTACCAAAGCCATTGCTTGGAAACTCTTTTGGCAAGAGATCTTTGAGGACAAATATATGGAAGTTCATAAAGTTACGTAGGTTTGAAACATTTCAATTAAGTGATTGTATTGGCGATCTGAAGGTATCACATTATTCTTGGTTATCAAATATTGAATTCTCTAACTGCTTTTGTTCTGCAATAATTGGGAAACAAACTGGGTCATCAACTAGTGCAGAAGAGCAGAAACAGAAAAATATTTTGCATTGCTGGATTAGCTGGTTATTTTCTGATATTGTGATTCCTGTGGTCCGTACATACTTTTATGTTACAGAAAGAGAATCAAAACGATATGATGTTTTTTATTACCCAAAGTCAGTATGGAGGGACTTAACTAGCAATGCCATTGCTTCCTTAAATAAGAAAAACTTCAGGATTTTGCGCGGTGAACCTAGGAAAGCAGTTAGGCATTTGAACTGTTCGTCAAGAGTGAGGTTTCTTCCAAAAGCAAAAGATATGAGACCATTAGTAGACCTCAGAGCTAAATCGAAGGATGCCAATCTCAATAAATGTCATTTAATTATGAAAAAGCTAAGAGATGAGAAACCAGAGATGTTTGGTTCATCGGTTTTTGATTACAATAATGTTCACCAAAATCTTTCCCAATTTATTTCTTCAAAAAGAAGCCAGTTGATGAAGAAGTTAAAGGTATATATTGTTGTTGCTGATGTATCGAAGGCATTTGATTGTGTCAGTCATGACATGGTTCTAAAAATGATAGACGATGCTTTCAAGTGTGATGAGTACACAGTGAGGAAATGCTCAAAGGTAATTTGTAACAGGTCTAAGAATTCCTTGTACCGGTTTGATTCAAATGCTTCTATTGGCAATGGTAACAGTATCTATGATTTATCAATTCAGCTATCATCAGGTGGTGGCATTTTTGTTGATCAGGTAGTGTATCCTAACAAATGTCCTTTCTTTACCTGGTTGACTAATTAACGAATGTGATTGAAAATTTGATCTTCTATCCTTCTCATTGTGACATTGAACACAATTTTAATTGTTATTCTAATAGCGTATTGGAAATTTATTAAAAAAATAGTCATACCAGAGAAGTTTTTATTAAATTTCAAAGTTTTAAAATGTTTACTTTGCATACTATTGATGAGAAAAAAAAATAATGGAGCAAGCATCAATTGGTGTTACAACTAATAAACTGGCTGGACATTGAAGAACATGCTGAACCATCTCTTCCGTTGGTGGATGATTGATTTTCACAATTTCATTTTATTGTACAAGTTGAGAGTAAGGAACTTGAAGGTTCACTTCTGTTAAGGAACTTGAAGGTTATTTTGTATGTTTAGAATTTTCCTGGATACTGAACTACAGAAATATCCTAGGCTGTACAGTTGAGACCAGGAATTGAAATTTCTTTTTTGTGCTGTAGCTGTATATTTCGTGTAATTCAATCAGCTCTTTTATTATTTTGCTACAAACAATCATCAATCAGGCTGGATAACACTTTTTGTTTTTACAAATCAGGGTACTATTTGTAGAATACTAAAGGAACAGTTTCATCATCTTCTGTATGAGCAAATAAAATGCAATATTTTGAAGATTGGGCAAAAGTATTACTTACAACAAGTAGGGATTGCTCAAGGAAGCAAGTTATCTCCCAACCTGTGTTCCCTGTACTATGGCCACCTGGAAAATTCAGTGCTATCAAAATTTCTGCATGATAGCAAGCTTAATGCAGGAGAGGCTTTTTCGGAACCTGAATATTTGTTAATGAGGTTCATTGATGATTTCATATTTATCTCTTTCTCACTGGAGCATGCTCAAAAATTCCTCAATAGGATGAGAAGAGGTTTTGTGTTCTACAATTGCTACATGAACGACAGCAAATATGGCTTTAATTTCTGTGCTGGAAATAGTGAGCCTTCCTCTAATAGACTCTACAGGGGTGATGATGGAGTCTCATTCATGCCATGGAGTGGTTTGCTAATAAATTGTGAAACTTTGGAAATTCAAGCTGATTATACGAGGTATGACTGTTGAAATTTGTTTTTAGCTCATTGGTCATTCTATATTTGTTAAATATAAATATCAAAGGGCATAGTATCAATTACTAGTTATCTTTTGTAATCCTGAGGCATAAATTGACCTTAAGACATCTGCAAACTGTTTTTTTCCTTTACTATTCAATGAAACGCCAGAAAATTATATTGGCTAAATATTTGTGAAAAATTGACTTGGACGATGTGTTTCCTTTTAGTCTTTATTTCTTTTTGGGAGACTCAAAGGTTGTTGAAATGTTAACCTTAGATATGTGCAGCCTAATACCAACCTGGTTTCTATCCACTTTCTGAATCTTGCTTTCTTAGTGAGCAAGAAACCGTAGTTACATTTTTCTTGTTTTAGGCATTAATGTTTGAGGAGTGCGAGAAATAACTTTCCTAACCAAGTGTGGAGAAATAGTAACGAATGGGTGCTTTTCTTAAACAGGTATTTAGATATCACCATTATCTCCACCATCACTGTTAAGATGCATTCTTCAACAAAGTATATCCACAGCAAGCTATGCCATTATATGCGTCCAAAATGCCATCCCATTTTCTATGACTCCAATATCAATTCACCTGGTACCATAAGAGTAAATATTTATCAAGCCTTCCTGTTATGTGCAATGAAGTTCCACTGTTATATTCGAAGCGTTTCCGATGCCAACGTAAGCAAATTAGAACTGCTGCAAGTAATTAAGAGAACCTTCAGGTACCTGAATTATACCCTTTTTTTAATCCTACTAAAACCTATGAAGTAATTATCAGGTTTATTCTTTTAAGATGTATGGCGTAGAAGAACATGCTTTGAAATCATGCGATATATTGGAAATCATGTGTCTTTCTTAATAATTATACTTTGCTGTTAAGCAGATACATGCATAGCCTAATTGTCAGACGGATGCAAGATGTGGAGCTGCACTATAATGTGCGTCCAGTTCTGAAGCTTAGGCGAAAAGAAACCATTTGGCTTGGTTTAACTGCATACATTCGTGTGCTTCAGCAGAAACAATCACGTTACAAGGATATGCTGACTTTGTTGACAGCAGAGCTTGGGAGATATTGCCATTTAGGTCATGAATGTGATACCTTGCGCTATGCTGTGGATGATTCTCACTCGTCTATGTTCTGGAAATTTAAGTTCTAGAAACTAGAAGTTGCTTTCCTGGTGTACTGCAGAAACTACTGTTCTTTTGGATATTCTTTTGACAAGTCATTTTGGGACTTTACCTCCAATCTGCCGACGTGTCATCGCACGCAGTACCAATGCCTACCTCGCTAAAACATACTCCTGGTGTGTGCAAAACAAACCGGTGGATTCATGTCCTAACCTCATTCAAGGTGCGACTGTTGGCCCGTGTTCTCCAATCTAGTGTAACGAACGAGAACGAGCACCTCACTAGTCAAAGGTTAATGGTCTCCTGAGGTGACAGTGGGGTGCCGATCATGGTTTTTTTTTAAAGCATTTTACGACTGATTGCTCATTTCTTTAGGATACCTGGTAGCACTCGAGCAGTATTAACTTTTTGTATAATTTATTGTGGGCATTGATTTGTTTTCCTTAGGTTACTGCAATTGAAACGATTGCATTTTACTAATTGTTGCCAATCGGAATTGTACCCCTTCAATTTTCAGCAATTCCAACCTTTTGGCTCTTAATGCTAAATCTACTCAGGTCCCTACTAAAGATTTATAGAATACTCCCTCCATTCCAAATTGATCTAGATATAGTTTTTTTGAGATTATTCCTAAATGATCTACATATTTGTGCTCATTTATTGAGTCTATTCGTTATTTGTGTATTGGAGTAAATGGACATTGATGCATGTATCTATGCACACAAGTATTTATAACCCACATGCAATATCTTGATTTGCTGTTGGCTAGGAAATATTGGAGATGGTGCATGCATTGAGTTTGTTGCTAGAATAAATATAGTATGAAAGAGTTATTAGCTTTCTTGGTCTTGGTGTACCTATGAAATATGTAGATCAATTTGTAATGGAGGGAGTACTCAATTAGTACTAAGCATAAAATGTAATTTGAGACATGCATAATGCTAGCCATTCTTAATTTAATTGAGCTTGTGCCATGCATCATTTAATTTGCTAGTTAATATCAGGAGATCCTTTTAATACTTAGCTTCAGTTATGAATTTTGTTGGGCTCAATTTTCCTCGGATGTATTTATTCTTCCTATATACTCCCTCCATTCCAAATTGATCTACATATAGTTTTTTTGAGGTTATTCCTAAATGATCTACATATTTGTGTTCATTTACTAGAGTCTATTCGTTATTTGTGCATTAGAATAAATGGACATTGATGCATGTATCCATGCACACAAGTATTTATAACCCATATGCAATATCTTGATTTGTTATTGGCTAGAAAATATTGGGGATGGTGCATACATTGAGTTTGTTGCTAAAGTAAACATAGTATGAGAGAGTTATTAGCTTTTCTTGGTCTTGGTGTAGCTATGAAATATGTAGATTAATTTGGAATGGAGGGAGTAGTTGGTACCCACTAAGTGCAATTATGACTATAAAGCTGCATCTAGAAAGAGCCACGTCATCCAAATAATCCTAACCGTCAGATTTTATTTGGACTGCTAATTGCTATCTTAGATGTGAACTATCTCAGATCAGGCTCAGATGAAGAAATGGTTCAGCCCATGGAAGCCCAGCCGTTGCCACAGTCCATTGTCTTGCCCTCAACCTTTTCGGATCCCCTGTCCCCGATGCAATTATTTACATGATCTCCCCCTTCCCCTTCTCTTGAATTTCTATGGTTCTCCTGTTCACTGCTTTTTTTTTTTGGGTTCATGCATGGATTATTGATAATAATTATGAGTTCAAGATATCAATCTTTTGGGTGCATACCAGGAGATGGACTATGAGGCAAAATAAATTAACATATATGTATTTCATCCTCGCAGTTTTCTGTTCATCCAAGCTTCGTGCTGAAAATTTGTTTGGATTATGTATTTTTAACTTGCTTAGTTTGCACCAATACCAGATTGTGTAGATTAAAGTCTTTTATTACAGTAAATTTACGGATAGGAGGCTCTACGACCAAGTTTATACTCAGGACAAATCCGTTCTACTTTATTTCAAATTATGTCTGATCTTAATACCTTTTAAATTAGCCTCATATATCTCTTTTTTTCATGCTGTGTAAGTTCCAATTCAGAATTACAATTGGCTACACCACGGGACATCTCACTAACTTAAAGGTGATTTTGTTCACTTTTCTTTGAGATCAACTGTATGTACAATTCTGAATGTGCCTCTTTTTTTTTTTCTATCAAGGTTTCATGTAGTCCATTTGGACTAATCATTCATGTCTCTTTTCCATATTATTTCCTCAAAGCAAGAATACCACTTTGGTAGGATACAAATATCCCACGGTAACACACGAGGTACCCATCTAATTTTCCTGAAGTCAGTGCCAGCTAGGGTTCTACCGAACCTCTGGTTTGGCCGAACCAGGCAAACTGTCTCTCTCCACCGCCTTTGGTGAGAGGCTGCAAGGTGCGCCTCTCAGTCGGTTCCCAAGTGGTTGGCCCTACTTTGAGCCGGTTTGAACTAACTTGTGGGCTTTTCAATCCGTGTGCTCGCACGTGATTCGTCGGATGTATGTTTCATTGTATGTCGGCTTCATTTCTTCTTCACTTTGATGTATAACTCCTGCATCCAAGTTAATTCTCTAATCCTAATACAACTACATTATTTATTATTGGTATTTTTCCCTTTACTAGTTGAGTGCCCATGCGATGCAACGGTGAAAAAGAAAATGTGATATTGTTAAGTAATCATGGTGGCTAGACCCTTCCAATAATACCTGACTGTTGCTGGTCACAATTGAGCTGCCGCTAGCCACAAGCATTATGACCATTCGAACCATTTTCCTGTTATTATGGTTAGAGTAATGCATGTGCTGCCATAGATGCCATTGTCTGCAGCTCCTAGCCCCCTTCCAGTTGTCCATACAAGGATATGACAAAGTAACAAAATATCAACTAAATAATCAACGCAGCAAATTAAACTGTAGAAGAGATTAATCATCACCTAGAACCAAACTTGTCAGATCAATTGGTGTCCATCATCTATACAAAAATTTCAAATATTGTCTTGCTAAATCTACACCTGTGCTAAAGGAACCTGTAGTGAATCCGATCCAAAGGAGCCATGCTTGTTCTGTACCAAATATGCTGAATTTTTGTTATAATTCTTTTTACTGAAAAGAATGCTCTATGGCTCTACCTGCCTTAAAATACTTTTTTTTTCTCTTAACCTTTATGTTCATTACCAGAGTTTCAGCTAACCTGTAACAATGCAAGCATTGTTATTATAGTACCATAATACATATTCAAAATGATTGTGATAGAAGTTAGATATATGACTTACTGTGATCCAAAAATAAGATGAGACTGTTGTTGAATCTCTTAGTTAAAAAAACTAAGAAGCCAGACATATATAAACCGATCATCCTTCTCCCATTCTTGCAACAACATCATCTTGGCCAGGATATTGTCTTGCACATTATATATACAGGCTTTATAATTTGGAATAAAATGAGCATGGGATCTTAAAAATTTCATAAACAGGTGCTCACTACTTACCATGGGATTAGATTGAGCAGTACCAAATTTAATATATATAGCAGAGTGCTCAGCTGCCAACATGAGTAACATTATTACTCTCACGAATTTACATGGATTTTACCCGTTTAACAACCTTCTAAATGAAGAACCAATTTGTACAGAAGAATATTGTTATTAAAGAGGACATTAGGACAACCAAAGTTAGTGCTGCTAACTGGAAAGCAAATTACCTGTGCATGGAGTAATAGTAAAGGAACGCATACCTGTGTAACAAAAATTGATTAAAAATAGAATACAAATCTTTTTCATGCGGCTATTGAAGATTGAGAAAATCAAAGGCATGCTTCATGTGATAATTGCAATGCAGACACCAATTCTAGGTAACAAACAAATCAGGTGTTGCCTTACCCATATGGGCTTCGTTTCATAAGCCGATTCCCAATCGGACATGCGAAAGAATTTTGTCACCTGAGCATAACCTTTTGACAAATCATTCAGCCTCAAAGGCTATTTCAAATTTTAGACATTTGTGATTTTTATACCACCCACCAGCATGGCCATGCCAAATGCTATTCCACGGGATAAAGGTGGTTACCTGTTACCACACGACTTAAACTCAGACATGAGCATCCATGACAATTTAAAAACTCTGCAATTTTGTTTCAGTGACAATGTTAGTTTCAGCTGTAACTTCAGATCATGTGAGATACTCATAGAGAATATTTATATGTTACCTAGAGAATGATCTTTTCTTGTAAAAAAAATAATGTTAATTCAGGTCAAGGAATCAGAGAGATAATAAAATCAAAAACTCACCAAGCGAATGACCTTTTATGCTTGATTGTGACTCTCTAATATTTGATGGAGATTTAAATTGAAACTTGGTAAATCCGGAAACAATCAAGCATCAGCCTAACAGTAGTATATGGAAGCATGGGAAATCTAGCCTAAATTTGGGCAATTATTCGAATAGCAGGAACCATAGCATTTTTGTTGAATGAAGTTATATAATAAAATTAATTATGTTTCATAAAAGCATTCACAGGCAGCATGTTGCACAAAAAAAAAAACCCACACTTCCAGGCATTTTCTTCTTTCTTCAGTACCATGAGGCTGTTACCTACTTGGATCTTTCTACGCATTTATATAGAATAAGTAAAAGAAATTCAGGGAAACTGCTAATGTCCAATTCAGGTTGGTTAGATACCTTGATTTCCCCTCATAATTCAAGGTGCAAACAAAGAAATAAACAGGTGCATTTACAACAACAGTGAGCAAGAGCAAATTAAGGAACCTGTTGACTGCTCAATCAGATTGGTTACACATACTTTGACTTCCCCTTGTAATTCACAGTGACAAAGAAAGAGATGAACGGCCGCTTTGACAATACCAACAGTGTGCAAAAAAAGCCAAATCATCATAAAAAAGGGGGCCGATGGGGCTGCAGTAGAAAAGGCTCCAGGAGCACGATGGAGGGGGCAGAGAGGGCGCCCGGGTCGCCAGAGGCCGCGTCTAGGTCGCAGCGGAGGCTGGAGGTGGCGTGAGCGCCCGCCGTGCGACGGGGACCAGGGGGTGACGAATCCGGAGGTCGGGGCGGAGATGGATGGAGGCGTCGAGGGCGGCGGCAGCGGGGTGGCGGCGCGGACGGGGCTGCGACGGGAGAGAGCGGGCGAGCGAGAGGAGCGCGGGGCGTTGCGGAGGAATAGATGCGGTCATGCAGAGAAAGAGGAAGTCAGGAACAAATGCGGAGGAGCGTGGACCGTTGATTCTGCAGGACGATCCTTCCAGCAATCTTAGCCTTCGATTGTTTAGGACTCACCACCAACACTACGCTTTTTTAAAATAGTAAAGATTCTCCAATACAAGTGAAACTACATTTTTTATAACTGAGATATACGTGTAAGAAATGTTAGTTCTCCTTTTATTTATTACAGTAGTCGATGTTCGAAATCGGTACTTAAGAACTGTCAACAATACCACATAGGTGATTAGATGATGAGATGGAGATAAGTAGAGAGATGATGAATCTATTGTATATGTTACCTCTTAATTTGTTGATATATAATATGTATGAAAATAGAGATAATAGTCGCCTCTGCTATAAAAAGTTTGCTCTTGGACAGTACCAGAATAAATTAGAGTGGACCATGCTTTAAAATGCGTGGCAAATATTGGCAAGAATCAAGATGGGGCCTCGGGAGGTTGGCTTCAAGGCCCTGTCCCATAGATTTTTTTTTTCCCGCTGAGACCTGATTAATGATCCGATCATATTCAGATACGCTGCTGCTCAATCCGGCCAGTTCGAGAGGACTGATTGGCCGGTTTGAAATGATCAAGTGATCGTTAAAACCCCCAAAACTTTCCTCTGGCGATCGATGATACTCATGAAGTTCCCATAGGCCATAGCTCTGCGAAACAACAAAAAAGTACTTCTTTTCATAAGTGCGGTATCTAGCTCTACCATACAAACTGTATACCGTGCTACAGTTCCTTATGCTACAAAAACGTCCAAAGGTGTTCATATGGTGCTTTTTCCACAGGTAACATGCTTTACTGGAATGCGTGTAAAGATGTTCATATGGTGCTTCACTGATGACTGATCTAATCAGAAGTATAAGCTCACTTTGCAGCCGTCGTTCGAACATTTCCAAAACAGAAAAGGTGGTATGATCTCCATCATGCCAATTAAACATGACCTGCTAAATAGCATGATGGATCTGACAAAGTAAGATTATGACAACAAATAAAGCTTCAGTAAATGACCATAATAGCTTGAATGCATAATTACCTTTATCTTCTAAACATGCGTTGATTACTAAAATTCAGCTAAGCTCCTTCAGTGATCTCAGATAGTTCTGTCTGTGAAGTTGGCAACCATATCTCAATACGACTACCTCCAGTCCCTATAATTGCATCAGGTCTCCGAGGCGATATCACACGCAAAACACAGCCATAGTTCTCAAGTATCTCACGGGCAACTGTTAATCCTGCAATGAAATTCCATGTCATATTATCTTCATGCATACCATCCGCAAGGTCTGACCCGAATGGAGCAAGGCAATGCATCTGTGTCTGTAAAATGATAGAAATCAGAAATTTGAACCAATTGTCAATGATAAATAAAAACTTTGCTGGACATGAAAATATTCTTACAGTGCTTGAAGCAATACAAGCAAGTGAACCAAAGTTCAAACAAATTTAGGCCTCCAAAATATCGCATCTAAAATAAAATATCTCAATCTGGTGACCATCAGTTAACTTTAGGTTTCACTAGAAAATTGAAAACCGACACTATATTTCATTATTAGTACATTGCACAATAGTTTGAATGAGATGCTCTTGTATTGTTGTCCCAAAGGAATTCTTTGGCACACTGATGAAAAGTCATAATTACATTGGATTGATGTCCCATAATTCTCCCTATGTTTTATGTTTTCTTTTGTTTCAAAACTAGAGTGGGTGTGTGTTTTGGCTGTGTGCATCTTAGTTATGCAGAGGCCAATAAAGTTTCCATTATCTAAAAAAACATTATGAAACACTAAAGAGCCTTACAAATGAAAGAACAAATGTACTTACCATGTATTGCATGTCAGGACCATCATCATCAATGACAACGAGAATGCCTCCTGCAGGTGCTTCACCAGCATATATCTGAACTCGGCCACCAAGCTGAGTGCGTAGAAGAGCACCCTCTATGAGATTACTCAGCGCTTGTCTTAAAGCAGATTCCTCAACAGCAACTTGAAGCGGGTGTGAAATTCCTGTTACATCTAGAGTGCGTTGCTGCCTAAAAGCAAGCGGTTGAGCTGCTCCAACCAAATCTTCCAGTACAACAGAGAGATCACATGGTCTGCCTGACAACAAATAAAGTGACAAATAATGCACAATTGAATTGTTGGGGACTAACATCTAAGTTATTTTTTACTCAAGCAATTAAAAATATGGTAACTTGAGATGTAAACAAATAAAGTACTGACATACAAGTACACGGGACATGGGCGACATGAGGTCCTCAAAAGAGCAAATACCCCAACACTATCCAAATCGATAAAAGTGATTTTTTTCAATATATACACTATTCATACAAACACCCCAATAAATCAAATGCAAAAAGAAAGATTTATGGGAAGGGACAAGATGGACGATTGTTTTGTCTTGATCAACACTGTGAAACAAGAAGACAGATGAAACAAAAATTAGTTCACAAAAGAACAAAGAATGTCAGAAAAACATAAATCTTTTCTAGCATCAATTGAATTTAAAATTTAAATCTTTACTGATGATGGTCCACTTTTTTCTGACTTTGTTTTTCTTCTTCTGTCCACCAACATATGTGAAAACCACTTCTAGTTGGTAGGAGGGACATTTTTTATCTGGTTTCTAGTTTTAAGAGTTAGGAGATGAGTTTTGTTTGGTTTTGTAGTTGAGAGACCAAAATTAAATCGATTCAACTGGGTAAGGGAAAAGAAATAAACTTTTCTGGACAAAAACATGGAGTTGGTGCTTGAGGTAAAAGAACAGTTTAGGCCGCGTTCTTTGCAAGTGCTGGGACCACTTCCTCCAGCACACAAAATGGAGCGACGGATTATCGCATGATTAATTCAGTACTGTATTAGCTAAAAAAACTTGAAAATGGATTAATATGATTTTTAAAGCAACTTCTCAATATGATTTTAGCAGTTCACAAACCGTGTGCACGGAAAACAAGCATTGCGAATAGTAGTGTTTAATACATAGGCATTGATCAAGATATATGTAATGAAAATTTTCAGAAATTTGGTCAATGTAAATATGTTTTTTCTTTGGATCAGTAGATCTTTTTTTAAGAAAATGATGGTTTTATTCTCCACTTAATTTCAATGCTACATGCTTTCCTGTTCCCTTTTTAGTTGCATATTTGCATAGTACAATGGATTTAGATTTCACATATGTTTTGCATAATATCCTTCTACCTTTGTAATGGATCTCAAATGCAAAACTTTGTCAGTCTGAAACTCTGGCAATTAAGATAACATAAACTTGAAATGTACAGTAATATTTACTTGATATTCATGGTACCACAATAGAACTTTTGCTAGTACAGAAAAACAGACCATGAAATTTAGAGTATTATGGTTTTCTCAAATATTGAAATATAAGCATGGTTAGGAATAGTGTAGAATAACTAGGATATGATGTTTCATGAACCCAACAGCTAGATTTATTTGAAACCATTGAAATGTTATGTGCATTTTTATTTCAGTAAACAATAAAATAGTTATTACACAAGAAATGGTCCAGCATAAAATAATCTGTGCAAACAACTACTACCTCCATCCCTGAATACAAGGAGTTTTAGAGTTGGACACGGTTATTAAGAATTACTTAGAATTAAATGGTGGAAGATTGTGATTGGTTGAGAAGTGGAGGTAGGTGGGAAAATTGCATGGTGGGTTGTGATTGGTTGAGAAGGGAATGTTGGTGGAGAAGTTGTTATAATTTGGGGCAAATTCTAAAGGCTAAAAGTTGTTATATTTTGGGACAGAGGGAGTACTTTAGAAGCACATGAAAACTATGACAAAAATAAGTTTTACTGAAAACAGGAGTGACACTATGCATTGGGTACTGGTAATCAATAGTTATTGGTCTGTGATAGACTACACTTATTTTGAAATAACTAAAACTGAACTACAAGTAAATCACAGCTACAACAATTTCTTGGTAAACAAAGCATTCAACGCATGAAATTAGTCTACTATGTAACTGAGAGTTCAACATCTTGGAATGGCAAATTGAAGCAAACTGTTACCTAGCGTCTTGGGGTTGAAGAGGGGCCAGCCAGAGAGGTGGCATGGGTATCACCATGTCTCCATTGTCAGAATCATGTGATGACAACGAATCAACTTTCTGTGAACTATTCTTAGGATCTGATTGATAGTGTGGTAGAGTTCTTGAAGAAGGTGACCCCTGAATTTTCTTTAAGGTTTCCTCATTGTACCTAACTATGTTCACCTGTTCAGATAACATGACAAAAATTCACTTAGGGATACGTGAGGAAAAATCATAAGAGATAATGGAATTATCCTTGTATGCTAAAACATTGTCTTAATTAAGTTTTATCATTTGGGATGTACATAGGTCTGCTCATTGGCCTACACCACTGAACTGATGGTTCACTTTTCACTTAATTTTGTTCCCATTTGTAGGCACTTTTCCCATTGCATCCCTATATGTACCCCATTACCCTTGGTATCCATTTCCAGCCTAACGCTTAGTAGCAGTACTTTCTTATTTTTTTTATTTTCCAAGCTAATAAGAAAGAGGTGTATTTAAGTAGAGCACACAGTTTTGTCAGTGATTTATGAAATGTCATTACAATGTTACCTTAGTCAGATAAACTGCATCTTGAATCTGTTGCAAAGCATCTTTCAAATGATCACCTTGGATCATAACGTCTTCAACAATATCATAAGAGATCTGCAAAAAATCAAATTAGGATACCCAACCAGGAAAGCGTCCAAGACAACTTCAAGATTCATTTAAACAAAGTGAAAAACAATGAACAGCTTAATGAGAATTGATCCACATACCTCATTTCTCTTTGTATGAACTGATAACATCTTTGCAAGAGCTCTTATATTAGCGAGGGGTCCTCGAATCTGCCAAAGGGATTCTTGTAAGATGAATACTATGATGTTTTTCAGTTGGTACTTTGAAGTTAAAAACTTGCCTGTTCTACTAAGCCACTCATTCTAATATTGTTTTGCCAGGAAGCTTGCTGAAGCAAATATGCTTTCTGCGAGGAATGCACTTATGTGAATAACCAAAATATATAACTAGCAATGTAAACTAGAGCAGGCGAGGAATTCAGTTATGGAATATTTTCTTCAGTTTATCAAGAGCATATCTGTTACACATGCCCATGTTTTATGAATAAAACATCAGGAAATATTTCACATATGCCTGCTGTATATCAAAGGGGATGCCTCAAAACTGCATTCCTAATTGCATGTTTTCCCAAATTCCAAAATAATATGTGTCTACAAGAAAGGTTATAGGCATTGGCTGGCAACAGTTAATGATTCCAGTCAAAAACAGTTAATGAATGATTTTATTTTGAATAAAAATTATCTAATGGTCATGAACAAACTACCTGGTCCATGACATAAGCCATTGCTAAAGTTCGAGAAATCATAAGTGCACTATTTTTCCATTCAGTAACTAACTGAGCATAACTATTAGCTTGGTCTCCAGAAGTTTGAAAATCCCAAGTTTCCCCTTTAGTATATGGAGTTATATCTGATGACTTGTCTAAGAATGAGTGTGATGGTATCTGAATATCAGAAGTCTCGGAGTTCTTTGTACATCCAACTAGTTCTGGGAGCTCCGCAACAAGGAAACCAACAACAAATGGGTGTTTCACCATTGGAAGGACTACAGCTCCAAATTCAGTTATGATTTCCATCTGCAGCATATGAGATATAGTAATCAATGAAATTAAAACAAATAGGAAGAACTGACATGATTAAACTTGAAAGCTCAATAGCTGCTGTAACTAAAACTGGATGAGCAGGTGTGGCCTGACAATCTCTTTAACGCTAACATTGCCCTACTATTTGCCAGTTGCATGTTCAGTTGATTAAAAAATAAATAATTTACTAAAACAAGTTTATACACTAAGTTTTAACCCACATAAATGGTAAATAATGTTGTTCCCGCTGTATGCACAAGTGAACTCTGCATTGGTTCATAGGCACATCCGCACATGTGGTGACAAGAATGAGGTCAGGTGTTCGTTAACCTTTTGTCCAATCAATACAATTCTTAAACGAAATAAGGTGCTTCATTGGCAGTATTACAACTATGAAAAGTACCATGTGGATTAAAAGGCAATGAATAATTTACCTGGTGTTTTACAAGAAAAGCTTCCGCTGCTCTTAGTCCAGCAGATATGGTGAAATTACCAACTAGAATCACTGTATCTCCTTTAGAAACATTAGTTTCAGGATATAAAGCAACTCGACGTAATTCAAGCTGATCCATAATATAACTGCCAGCAGGTCTTACATACACCTTCAAAATAAATAGATAAAAACATTTTCTTTATTAATTTATGACCACATAGGTTGAAATAAGCACCTAATAAATTCCTAACAAGAAAAGAATTTATTCATCTAAATGGCAGATAAGCTAAAAACGAAACAAATGGTGACATGATTGTTTCAGATTAATCGCGGAACTAGTTATTTGCTCTCATACTTTACACCTCCAAAGGATGAAATTCAGAATTTGCTACAAAAAACATGAAAACTGTTGGCACTCACAAACACTTTGCTACTCCATTTTTGTGGGCTGAGGAATCCTAGTGTCATTTGCAGGGGCTAATAGAAAATTTCCACAAATGAAAATATAGCAGTTACATTTCCTTTTGAAAGAAGAAGGGGATGCACTTCAAAACCTTTTCTACGTAGTCTAGAAGAAAACAAACTTCTACACTCCTTATTAATTATTAGAGTAAATTTCACGAAACCACATATTTTACGGTGAAACTTACATAAAATCCTTGGTATTTTGACTGGTGGCACATAACCCCAGCCATCATGGTTCTAAAGTTTCACAAAACCTCGATGCATGTTGACTATGGATTTAATTACTTAAAATTTTAAAATATAGAGTGCATATAATTTTTTATAATTATTGCGTTCTTGACTAAGGTTGATAGTTTAACTCTTCACTAATTTGCAAAATATCGTTTCAGATATATTGAAATTAATCGAGATCTGTCTAAAGGTGGGTTTTATGAAACATAAGGACCATAAAACCTGTGGTTATATGCCACAAGTCAGAATATACATGTGGTTTTCTGCAACTTAAACTATAAAACTTGTGGTTTTCTGAATTTTACTATAATTATTATTCAGTTAAATTTAATCATCAACTGTTCATGAACAAATGTTGTGCACATAAGCACAATTGGACCTGGATATTACCATCCTGGACTCCTGATATCATTTTGTTGTCATCCTTACCTTATTATATGTTCTCCAATGTTTCGATGTACTTTTTGTTCCTTAAAATAACATAAGATGGTAGTACCTATTCTCATCTAATAACTATATTGCTCATAGGTGACTTATTTTGAGCAGAACAAGACTGTAGGAGTAGCAAGCAAACCTATATAGTGCTATCAATACATAGGGAAAAATATAGCTTACAGAGAGGACGGCGTCGCGGGAGATGACCACCCGGAACATCTCGAGCTGCTCCCCGCACAGTCGCCGGAAGTCGGTGCTGGGCTCCGTGAAGCCTCCCTCTCCTCGCAGCTTCTCATTCTCCTCCCGGTGCACCCTCCTGAAACGCACCGGCGACGCGCTCGAAGCACGCCGGATGGCCTCCGCCACGGCCGCAGCCGACGGCGTGCCGAGGTCCTCTACCTCTTCCCCCTCCCCCTCCGCTGGAGCCGCGACGTGACGGAGCGGCTGGCACGCGGCACGGGCGAGCAGGCCGTGGGGAAAGGAGTGCTGGGCTTCGATGGCAACGGCGGGTCTGGGATTGTGGGGGGTCGGGAAGCGGGGGAGGCGAACGCGGAGGGCGAGGTAGGGGGTGTCGAGGAGTGGCATCGCGGTGCGGGAGGAGGCGGTGGCAACAACGCCAAGGGGACTATTGGGACGACGACGTTGGTTTGGCCATTGGCGAGCCGCGAGCGCCAGAAACGACCGGCGTCGACCGGATTGCGGAGAGCACCGGACACAAGTTTCCGCTACCGCTTCCTGGTGTGGCTGAACAGTGGCTTCTTGCCGGGGCTGCGTGCCTGTGCCCACAAACCCACGACCGTCGCGTTAGCCAGAGAAACGTTATCCTTGTATGGATGGATTATAGTTTCTCCCTTTTTAAAAACTTATTTTACAAATAAATTATTAAAAATACCTATTCAATAACTAAACTATTTTCATGGCACAAACATCATTATGGCCATGGTCGACGCTGCCATTGATATTGCATCGTCCCCCTTGCCTTCCACATAACCTAAATTACGGTTGAGAAAGGGTTGTTGTCAGTGACACCAATCACTTGTTTATGAAAAATAGTTTTTAAAAAAACTAAAATGTAAATATTTTTTTCTTATAAATAGGTTGTCAGCACCAACTACTCTTGTGCTGAGAACCTATTTGTAAATATTTTTTATTAAATAAGTTGTTATATCTTCAATATATTTTTCTTTACGTTTAACTTGTCATTGATTTTGTGTTGAATTGTTTACTGTTGCTAAAGATTGGAATTTTTTTTCGATCACTAAACTAAGTTTTAGGCTTAGTATACGTTGGGAGAAATTTTTTCAGGATTTAAACGTTAAACGGAGGGTTCATTTTCAACACTAGCATAAACAAGTTAATGCATACGTATGTTTATATTAAAGTTCTCATCCCCGGAAGTTCTCAAGTACATCTACAGCTATTTCCCGAGCAAACTCCTAGGCTTCATCAATTAGCTCAAGTGCGTGCTCTTCTGACGTCCCATCGGCGAAGCCATCCTAGCGGCAGTTATATCCACTCGGGGATACAAAGATTTTGTCATCGCCAAGGCCTGGCTAGCTCCCCTGGTGGCATCCTCTTTGATACTCTTGAAATATTTGCTTGGAGAACTTCTTAACTTGTCAAAGATTTCTATGCCATCTTCCGAGTTGGAGCCCAAGCTATTTTGAAATATGGCATTAAGGACTGGGGTCGGTGCACTAGCTATTTCATCCCGCACAGGCTCAGCCCTTTCTACCCTTTTAGCGAAGACATCAAATTGTGCCTAGGTTTTTGGCTTTATGGGCTACAAGTCAAGATTGACATTTTATCACAAGGTATATAACGGCAACTATGGTAGCAGTGGGTTAGTATGCTTACCTGTCACGCCCAAAAATTTGAAAATAATTGAAGAAATGATGCCCCCTTAAAAAAAATAGAAGGAAGATGAAAGATGTGATACACTTTCTAGCTGAAGAACTTATTTAGATTGATTTCCATCAATTTAGAAGACATGCCTTAGTCTTATGTTCAGGAATTTTCGTTGAACTTTAGTTTTCCATTCAATTGTGAACTCGGCTGTTTTGTGGATCTTTTTTTTTTGGCTGTCTACGTATCTGTTGACAGAAAATCCTACCTCCTATCTTTCAAATTAATTTTGGACAATTGGATCTGCTTCAAGATTCGTTCAGACCCCTTAACTCTAACTCCTCTCCTCCTCCCCCATCCAGATCGCACCGCCACTGCTCCTACCGTCCCTTGCACGATCCCCCGTCACCACCGCCCCACCGCGCCGCCGCCTGCCTCGCCGGCTGGATGGAGGGCGTCAACGGCGCTGGCGATGCCCCCCGGCCAGCCTCCTCCCCCTTCCCCCTCCTTCCTCCTCGAGCCGTCGGCAGCGTGATGCCCCTGCCACCAACGCTGGCCCACTGGTGTCCTCCAGCCCAACGGCTCTAGTGCCACCGTCAGCGCCTCGCCACCCACCCGATCCGCCACCCACTGCCGGGCATCCCTCTAAGCCCGGCGAACTCCCCCTTCTTTCCCCTCCCCCTCCCACCCTTCCCACCCCACCCACCCCCAGGACCCTAATTCGTCGGCCCTTCGCTAGAGTTTGGGTTGTCGCTGGCGCCGGAGAAAGAAGAGGAGTTCGTCGGAGTTGGAGAAGAAGCAGTTGGAGCACGAATTGCGAAGCACATCCAGTGAACCAAAATTTGCAAGGTTTGGAGGTAGGTTTTCTGTCGACTGAAGTTTAGCAATTCTGTTTTTTTTTTTTCACCGTGCTGGATGGTTTAATTTTAACTACATTTTTTTATTGTATACAGAGCGTTGCTATTTTACAATTGTTGGTATTTCTTAACGACATTACAGAAATATAATTCTCAGCAATGCCACAGAAATACTTCTGGTATATTATGGTTACAGAGTTCATCCGCAAGCGCACGGATATACCATTGTAACATTTCACCCGAGAGTATTCCAAGGGTATCGTATTAATTTTATCCTGTGGGAAGATCATGTAGAGAGAACTTGATTAATAATTTATATGTTACTTGTGATAATCATAGCCTAAGCAGGAGTTAAGATAATCCAAGGGTAGAGTGACACACAAGCAGTAGCTACTCATATAATATATTATCTAAGCTAAGTGGAAAGAAATTAGTAAAGGAAATATATTCCTATACTTCTAGTATACATAGTATACATACATTCTAGTTATTTGATATACTAGCTAATACCCTCTATCCGATGCCCTCCTGGTACTTCGAGAAGCCACCCCTGACTGCCGAGTTCCTTACGACAGCCCGTCATGACCATACAACCAGGGCTAAATACGGAGGAATACCCTCCCAGGGAATTAACTTAGGATTATATACACATGTGGAGGAATACCCGTACTGAGCTGTCACCATCAGCGGCCCACCTCTCATCCGCAGCATATAACCCCAAATAATGATATCCCGTAACCTAGACACCATGTATAAACTACCAGATACTACTCTAATATCATCGTCATGACATAGAGTAATTGCATAAGCAAACATTATACCCGCACTAAAGCATCTCCCAGATAAGCTAGTAGTATATTCAGTATAACAAGAACATAATGTAAAGTAGGCATTCATATACTCGGAAAGTATTTCAATACCATAAATGTATATAGAAGAGTATTCTAATAATATTACAAAGCCATACCCGAAGGCTTATAGAAGAGAAGAGAAGAGCTAGTAGAGTCATGCCCGAACTCTTCCAAAGGCTTTCGGACTCCTGATTTCTATTCTGTTCCTATTCCACTAGCTTGATACTACTAAAATAAACTTGAGAGAATATGAGAGAGCTTTGCTTGAGGTGTGTGTGTGAAGTAAGGAGAAGAGCTCCTTAAATAGGCAGGTAATGACGGTTATGGCGGTTGGAATGGTCGGTAATACCCTCCAACCGCCATAGGGGGTGAATCTCCACCGTTCCCTCAAAACCCTGCATCCATTGGCGCTGGCATTGGTTCGGCCGAACCCTGGGCTGGCCCAACTAGCCCACAAGTTGGCTGGTGGCCTCCTGGACTTCTCCTCTCCATAGACTTGTGAATTTTGGCCCAATTAATCGTGTCATTTCTGAGTTTTTGGCCCATTCATACATAAGACTGATTCTCGACATCGCCCGATTGATTTATTGTTTGTGTTGATATCGATTCTTCTCCACTTTATGGTCATTCTCTGCAAAAAGGTTAGTATACCTAATACTAGTGGAATATTATTATTCTAACATATATATGCATTGCAAGCCTTACTAGTTCTCTTTTATTTTGTTAATATTGACGGTCGAAACTGATCGATAACGACCGTCAACAACAATCACTGATTCTCTCTTTATAGTATACTTGAGAACTCCAAAAAAGTGCATGTTCCCATAAAATTGTTGCATATACAGTTAACAAAATTAAATATGTACAAGTATTTATCCGAAGACATATATGTGTCTTTAGTACAACATATTAACAAAAATAAAAATATGTATTAGACTGGGGCATCCAAATACATGCAAACATAATATTGAGATGTTATAAAGCGCCTCTAAGAGCGTCTCCACGTTAATTCAGTTATGGCGCAAATGTTTGTTCTAAAAATGATTATTTATTTATAGAGAAACAGCTAAAACGACTATATGTGTTTATGGAGACGTGCTTCAAGCGTGTCCAGTGAACGTCTCAGATTTTGTAGAGGTGTTTTGTAAAATGTCTCTATATTTTTGAGACGGTCCTGGGGGAGGTGTTCCTATAACGCTTTATAAAAATGCCTCAACTATCTACTAGAGATGAAACAAAACGTCTCTATTCTTTATAAAAATGTCTTCTTTGGGGGTGTTTTGTTTTAGTGGGGTCCTATTGCCACACCGATACAAGGTTCCAGACTTCTCCAAGTTTTTAGGGCAAGATGATATATCTACAATGGAACACATCAGCCGATTCTTAGCTCAATGTGGTGAAGCATCGGTTGAGGAGGCTCTGAAAGTTAGATTTTTTTTCCATCATCTTTGACTGGATTGGCTTTCACATGGTTTTCATCATTACCATCAAATTCTATCCGAGGATGGGCCGATCTTAAGAAGCAATTTCATGATTACTTCTTTGCTGGAATCAATGAGTTAAAACTTTTAGACTTAATATCGGTTGAGCAGCAAGAAGGAGAATCGGCTATGGAATATATTCAGAGATTTCGTAATATTCGCAGCCAATGTTATGATTTGAGCCTAAGTGATGAGCAGTTAGTAGATCTTGCATTACAAGGATTGTCAGCACCTATCAGAGAGATTTTTTTGCCACGAGTTTGACAGTCTGGCTCATCTAATGCAAACAGCATCGGCTCTAGTTTTGGAGTTATCAAGATCAGACAGAAATAATTTTGAAGCATGAGTTCTCATACTCCAAAATTGGGGGGCATGTGTTAACAGTGAAGTTTGGTAAGCCCCGAAGTCAACATCAGAGCTTCAGAGTCCTGGAATTAGCCGACGGGAATTATCAAGATCAGTTCTGGAGTTATCAAGACCAGAATTTTGAAGCATGAGTTCTCATACTCCAAAATTGGGGGGCATGTGTTAACGGTGAAATTTGGTAAGCCCCGAAGTCATCATCGGCCTAGAGTCAGTATTGGCTTCAGAGTCCTGGAATTGGCCGACGGGAATTATCAAGTCGCCAATAGTCGGATTCTTGCTATATTCAGTTTGTGTTTAGTGTCTGATTCGGACTTTATGTTTTCCTTTTATCTTTAGAAAGTTTCTTTCTTGTCCAACCAGGACTAGTATCTACAAATGGGTGTAAATATGTATACCCGGG